CATGTGTAATGGGTACAGTATGGTCAAAAAGGGATAAACATGGTCAGCAATGGTGTTTAAACGATGCTCAGAAAATATGCCCCACACCATTATACCACTAATAACCTCAACAGTTAATACGAGGCAGGATGCATCCATGCCTCATGTTGTTTCCTACAAATCCTGACCCAAACATCAAAATGTCGCAGCAGAAATCGAATCTCAACAGACCAGCCAACATTCTCCCATCTTGGTCCAATGTAGGTGAGGCATGTGAATTTTAGCCTCAGGTTCCTCAGAGAGGTGGCGTCTTCTGCTTCAAGGCTCCAGATTTATTGTGCATTCAGAGATGCATTTCTGCATACCTTGGTTGTGGTTATTTGAGTTACTGTTGCCTTCCTACCAACTTGAAGCAATCTGTTTTTTGTTTTTTCCCTTATTTTTGCCCCGAGGACTACCACTCACTGGATATTCTCTGTTTTTCTGCACAATTTTCTTTCAACCTAAAGATGGTTGTGTGGGAAAAATCCCAGCAGATCAGCAGTTTCTCAAGTACTCAGAGCAGCCCATCTGGTTCAGAGTCACTTAAGCCAGCTTCCTTCCTTATTCTGATGCTCAGCTTCAACTTCAGCTGATCATCTTGACCTTCTCCGCATGCCTACATGCATTTAATTACTACAGTGTGATTGGCTGATTAGATATTTTCATTAACAAACAGTTGAACAGGTGTACCTAATGAAGTGGCAAGTGAATATGAGTTGTTATGCTATGTCTAAAAAAATACAAACTTCCCCAGTGCTCATATTCAGCGAGCAGTCATGTTGACGACAGAGGTGACAAAAACACTCTTAATTTTTCCTCTTCTTACTGTAAAGAACAATATTCAAAAATGTTTATGAGTCATCCACTTTATAAAAAATGATAAATAGCCTGAGATGTCCCTAGAAAAATAAACCGCGGTGATATATTTCAGCTTTTCCACATTCAATGACTCTGCTCTAAGTATGTGCACATTACAACTGAGAGATGAAGTGGAAAAGTGGAAAACCTTCCCATGCAGAGTTTTTGGATGACTCCAATAATTAATCTTATTCATAACTTCACTGCAACTTTCACACTTAGCAAGGCCATCCAGCTGGAAGGCCAACTCTGATCCTCTTATAGGCCGGTTCTGGCCCCTGGACTGCTTGTTAGACAACCCTGATTTAGTGCTTTCAGTACAACGATGGAAACCCTGAACATGATGAAGCAGAAAGGTTTTCTAGCCAGGCTGCTCGTTGTTGTTGCTTGAGAGTTATGATTACTCTCTCTGGTTAAAGCTGGTGCTTGGAAACGCTTGCAGAGCAAACTGTGTTGTAGCTTAAAGGTGTTCCTTTGTTTGCTTTTCACATTAATAAACGTTCACAAGCTCCTTTTACCATTGTGTTCATTTTGAACTGATGCCAGTTTGCATTTCCATTGCAAATTTGGTCTTAAATTTGATTTAAAACGCCAGTAAAAGGGTTTTAAATGTTTTGTATATGACTTCTGTATAGCTGCAGACTCCATGGAGGACGTGTGTGTGTGTTCATGTTTAGTCTGCAGCTCCAACTTTGTCTTTCGCCTTTCTCTCTGCTGTTTATGACCTCAGTCTGTCACAAGCTGGAGTTGGAGCGGCAGCAGCACAACCAGCTGAAGCACACATGGCAGCGAGCTAACGACCAATTCCTGGAGTCTCACCGCCTCCTTATGAGGGACATGCAGAGGATCGAGAGCGTGCTGTCATCAGAACAGCTCCGCCAGGTGGAGGAGATGAAGAGGAAAGACCAGGTACATAACATAACCTAACAAGAGTGTCAGCTCTGCAGACAGTTTAAAAAGGCTTGGCTTTCCACTTGGGAAGCATAATCGTCTTTGCAGTGGTTAGAGTTAACAGAATTATTGGGTTTATCTGCTGTGGAAGTGGGGAAAGCCCAAACAGGCCAGAAAAAGTTGCCAAGAACAAGAGTGTTCACAAACTGTAGCTCAGAGGACTGAAAAAATAAGCCAAAATCACCACCTTTTAAAGGAGGTCTTTTATGTGTTTCCTTATTTTCTGTTAAATATATACATTTATAAATCTGCATGCTGATGTAAAGCATGGCCAACATTTCAAATAATGAGGCTCAGATTGCTCTAAACACTCAGTTTCAGGCAGTTTGTTTCAGAGAGAAGATAAACTGAGCATGTGCACCAAATACCAGTACTACATCATGCAAAGCTACTCCAGAAAGTAAAACATGGAACTGGGAGTGATCATAACAGTCCATCTTTAATCGTTTCGGGCAGTTTGGGTGGATGCTGATGTAAGGTTTCGAGGTTTTGAGGATGCTCTTGGTCAGGAGCTGGCTCCAACTTGCAGCTTCCACGTTTAAAATCAAGCGTCTGTTAAATGTCTCAACTCACTCTGTGCCCTTTGTCACTAAAGCAGGAATAGTCCAGATAGATCTAGAACCAGTTGCATGTGTTTCAACTAGAAAAATGGCTTTGGTGACAAAAACGTTACGCGGGCACGACGCCACAAAGCTGCTGAGCCAACACTGTTGCGAGTTGCCGTAGGAACAAATTCACCATCGTGTCTCCGATTCTGTCCACCATGACGCACAAAAGCAGAAGTGGTTGTGCGCCATCACGGGCACCGTGTTGTTGACAAAGAGGTAGTGGAGTCCACACTTTGGTAAAACTGAGCTGCTTTTGGCACATAAAAGACTAGCTGCGTACCGGGCTGCGGTGGTCATGTGTTACAGATTTAGGACTGTGCTAAGGAAACAAATATATCCTTATAACAATAAAATGTGATGATGATGTCAGTAAAACTCAGTATTATTTTATTTATTAAGGCAGAATCTAAGATTTTAAAGGAGTATCTATTTAAGTGTCCACTGAGTGGGAATTTAATCGATGTAAAACAAAATGTGACCAAACATTTTGTCTCTCCATCCAAGGAGGATGACGAAAAGGAGCGCCTGAGTCAAGTGAAGGACCTGCAGGAGGACAACGGAGGAGACAACACCGAGCCTTTGGAGGACTTATTCCTCGGCCTCAGCGTCGAGGAGGTAAGAGCAGAGAGTAATCTGATACGTCCCCACTGAGCAGTCTGTAATTGGATTAGTCTGTAATATATTCGCTTTGAGCCATCTTCACATTCAAGTACCAGGTTATGTGTTGTGTCTCTATCGGTCCTAAATTGGGGAAAAATGGCAACAATATCTTCTGAGAAATATACATTTATGATTCAGTTTAATCTCAGTGTAAATATTTGATCTGATTGCACGATTTCAGTCATCCCTGTTTCTGAAAAACATGTTTACTGAGACATGCTGTAAATCCTGTTGTAACGATGCCATGGGTTTATGCCTTCGAGCTACATCAGCTGTGCAGACACTGGAATAAGTTTGAATCTGGATTTCGTTTTGCAGTTTTCGAGAGTTGTGATAAATAGTTGATCTGCTTTTGGAGAGAATCTGTTGGATGTCAGAAATTTATGATCACTGTTTAAAGTTTGAGCAGCTTGAGCTCGTTTTCCGAAGACCTGTCAGATTGTCAGGAAACTTGTCTTCGCGTTAGTAACGTTTTACACATTGCAGCCTGGCTGATCTTGAAGAAAATGGTATTAACTTTGCAGCAGAATCAGGACAGAATCGCGATAAAAATCAGCACCTGAGCCATCTTTATATTGTTGGAGCTGTCGGTGGATAAAGTGCCAGTTGACTGGTCCGTGTTGTAAGGCCGCTCAAAAATCAGACTTTAAAATCATGATGTTGTCAATAGTCTCATGTTTTTCCAAAACATGATTATTTATTTACTTCCCAAACTGCTCAGCATGTGAAATGCCACATTGCTGCTGTTC